CAACTTTACATAATGGGCTATTGGCACATGAAGCTTGATAAAGAGGTTTCACCTTTTTTTACACATTATATATGTATATATATATATATATATATATATTGTGTAAAATAAAGGTTAAAATGTTAAAGGGTAAATGTTAGGTTGATTTGTGTACGCTTCAAAGATTAAAATTTCTGCACCAGTTGACCTCAAATTTTGATACGATATAGAAACCGCTTCAAAGATTGTTTTTATTTATCTTTTACGTTAGTTTCATTCCTCATTTCTCAGCAATGCAACCACAATGTGCCATAGCGAAGCGTGGGAGGGTATAGATAGTATTGTATAAAATATTAGCTTTCTGCTCTTCTTCTACATATAAGCTTATGAAATCTTTATTTCACGATCCTCTGTTATCGAAATTTTGTTAAAAATGCGTACCAAGAATTCTTTCTTCAAAATAGACGCACAGATGTGTGGCATTGTACAAGAAAAAAATACATTCATTCTAAAATAGGCCTTGATATTCACTTCACCATAATAGAGCTTTGTTTCGTAGATAGGAAAGCACGAACGGATAGATAGTGAGTAGTCAGATAAACACTGATGTTAAGTGAAGGTCGAGTGTGCAAAAAAAAAAGCCCATGGTCTTCTTTATGATACGACAATGTCAAATAATATAAATAGACTACCTAAATGGTAATGTTATGAAGTATAATTGGATTGATAGCCATTAAAAATGAATATTTTTAAAACAGTATTAACTTTGTCCGGTTAAGTAGTGAGATACTAATCACTTGGAATTACATATATAGAATTCTGAACAATTCTTGACCATAAATATGAGTAATAGTAACCTAACACGCTAAGCAACAAACATCTAAGCTTATATAGGTTAAAGAAATTTAGCTCTGACCAAATGGAATCTGGTATAACATTTTTAGTCGAATATTATAATAACATTTATTTCATAGTAAAGTTTTACAGTTTCATTACATAGGTTATCATAATAGTTAGGTATATAACTTAGGCTATAATTAATTGGAGTGATTGCTGTTCTCCTAGATAGGCAACTAAGTTGCCTGTGTTTAGGAGTTACAGTCCCTCAAGTGCGCATATGGGGGTGAATGTCGTGTGCGTAGCGTGCGTGCGCATGTGTGTGTGTGTGGGTGTGTGTGTGTGTGTGTGTGTGCGTGTACGTGTACGTGTGTGTGTGCGTGAGTGTATGTGTGTATGAGTGCGTGTGTGTATATGCGTGTGGTTAGGTGTTTGTGGCCTTACTTGGTTTCAATTTTCGTGTTAATAATAATATATATTGTGTTTAACCGTTTAGGAATTGCTCTGTTTCGTCATAATTCAGGTTTTGGAGGTAGGATTTAACAGTCTTTGACAGTAGATGTTTGGGCAAATGATAGATAGGGCACACTGCATTAAGCTTGTTATAAACAGATGGACCAAGGTAGGAAGAAAATCTTTTAAAGAAAGTTGAGCCCGCAGGAGGGATTGAACAAATTCGGTCTTTACGACGTTTGTTAATCGGTAAAAGCGGTGTGAGACGGTGTTGTAATCCTGTTAGGTGTAATAAAAATAGTTGTCTCACACTGAGTAAAGTAGAGTAGTGAATATTGTACAAAGAAGTTTAAATTAAACATGAGAAAAAAAATGAACTGAACCTTGATTATTAATTAAAATTTAGAATACCATTTAAACTGTACCATTTATACTTTCTTTTTTGTATGACACGTGAAATTGCAAGCAATTAATAACATCTTAGGTTTAAATCTCGTCTTGTTCTTGTCGTATCAAAGTATGATCAGAATCTACAACTGCACTTGTCTACACCTTGTTTTCTTTGTTACCAGACACTTCCATCATAAGCTTATTAAACGACCGTTAAAAGATCTTTCTATCTCCATATAAATGACGTCATTTGCAAAAAAAACATAATTTCAAGTGCCATGATAATGATACCGACACAATCGTGATAGGTCACAAGATCACTCAACATTGTACAGTCAAGTCAAGAACTCGCAAAGTTTAGGGGTTAGGCCCCTTAACTTTTGCGAGTTCTTGACTCGACTGTAAACTTTATCTGTGAATATAATATACCTTCAACTTTTTCTCAAACCATAACTACTGAAATCAGCTATTAAAATGCTAAAGCATAATAATTTATATTCTCAGAAGCGATAAAATATTAATTTTCACGAAGATATTTAAGCAACTTGGGTCAAGTCGTATACTCTTTAGAAAGGTTAATGGCTAAAGTATTCATTTGGTTTGACAGCGGTTGAAAAGTTTAGGTTTTACTCAAAATCAACTTTTGTTGAAATATTCACAATTTATATGTACCTAATACATAGTAGCTAATAAGTATTCATATCTACTTGTTTTTTTAGTGGAATAACATATTATTTCAGTAGCTAAATCGACAATCTTAACTTATAAAACTTCAGCTATAGTTTACACCTTATACGACATATCTTATTTATCCATTATTCTGGTAAGCAGTTGCTGTTAAAATACATAATATAAGACATATCACTCAAATACGAATACTTTTGCCATTAAAGAACTTTTTTGCAATCATCTATGTAAAAAACATGCTTAAAGCAGATTAAATCATTACAAAACTGTTACTCCATCAGTGAATAAAATAAGTACGGTCACTACGATCTAGTTCCCAGTTTCAGACAGAACGTGTAACATACGTTTCAGAGTAATAGGAGCTAGTTCTATCTGATAAAAATCGCCATTGACCGTGCGCACGCGCAGCTCACTTAAGCATTTGCAGAAACGCGGACAAGCGCATATTTCTTCACATTCGGCTATTTCCGTCTACGGTTCGGCTAAATCCGTCGGCTGCGGCCGATGACTCCGCCGGCATGCGCTGTTTAGACCTTGACGTAAACATCGCGTATGTAGTTACAACAATCCATTTCTAATCTTATCACATTACTATAAAGTTCAAATCAGGTGTTAATTTAAAATTTATTTATTACCGCAAAGAATATTAATATCGGAAATGATTTTTACCTTATTTAAAATTATTTAACTTTGGCGTCTGACCCTTTTTTAATTAAAAACACCAACAGGTAACTTAAAGGTTTTTTGCAAATTAAGTAACAATAGTTAATCTATTAATGAAAATAACAAAAAATGAAATAGTGTATGTTGGCAAACGCATCACGTAAAAACACCTTGACTGCAAGTACCAATCAGGACTTTGTTAAAAGATGGGGAAACTGGATGTACGTTGTTCTATAGAATTAATTTTTTTTTTGGTAATTTTGACAGGTCAGGGTGTTTCCTGTCGTCTATAATTTACTAAAAGCTTATGGTTCCAATGTTATTTGTTATTCGATTTCAAAAAGTCGCAAGTACTAAAATAATCAATTAAAAATAATAGTTATAATTTATGTTAGTGGAAAGAGAAGGTGTTAACCTCTTATTCTTTCAAGGAAAAGTTTCTAGTTCGCGAGGAACGCATTACTGTAATTTACATTACATACATTACATTCAGTAGCCGATTGATTACGGTTTCTCTTTGATCAGCGACGTAACATCGACAATTCGTACTACTTTGTCACCTCAATAGGAAGCAGTTTTTAAAAGTAACATAACAATTACGAAATAGGCCTTAAAACATACTTCATCTGTTTCTACATCCGTCTTTATATATCTAAACACCCGCGGCCTTGTTAGCCACATTCGAAATAATAAAAGTATTACAAGCAAAAGAAAGCCGAAAATTATCTTGTCCAAATTTACTTTCAACACGTGCTTCTTATAGCCTATCATTAAATAATTATATTTTGTGTCAAAATGTGTGTTATTTCATTTAGTAGTAGTTACGATGGTAGCTAGTATTTAATATAAACACGCAATATAATATTTAAAACAACTGCCTGTTACTCATTAAATAACTGCCTAACGTTTTAAAAGTGTTCGGATGAAATTAAGAAACGATCCAACAGAATCGCCGACTTAACACGCAAACGACAATGTTTTTAATATATATAAAATATTTTAGAGCATTTAGCTCTAAAATATTTGATCACACGCGAACTAAATATAAAAAACTAATGATAATTTTCAGATGTAAATTTCCTAACTATAAATTATTTAGTTCATTGCAATTTTTGTTCTTTTGTATAATAATTATTGTTCATCAATTGCCTTTTTCCAATTTTATTTGAGTTTTGACTGATTTCTTTTATTGACTGCCGCCTGCTTGCCACCAGATCTCCTATGAAATGTAATCGTTCGAAAACAGAACAAAGAAAGAGGTAAATTAGAGTAAGGAAAACTGATATATATTAGAATATAAATAGAAATATAAATTAGAAGTAAGCTTATTCTGGACGAAACTCGAAAGAACCATGTTTTAAAAATGTACCGTTTCGGAAAGACTTATTCAACATACGAGTATTCATTTATTTCTTAATGTGTAATTTTCTGAGTAACTTTTATTTTAATAGTCTAAATGCAATTGTGAATCTTAATAAATATACAAGGTTGCCTAAACTTAAGTATCAATATCATTTTTTTTCTTAACTTTGTTTGGTTTCTTATTTGATTTGATAGATGAGGAAGAATAAAACGTGAATTATTATAATGTTTTGTAATAAGAATTATTGTAATAAATGCCCTGGTGCTTTGATAAAATACACACTATTGTTGTCTATTTCACACAACACATACCCGTATTTTACTAAATTGTTAGTAGTACAAGTATAAACAAACCTGAACGAACAAAGCGATGCAAATCCCAGCTCTTCGGCATCCGTCAATTACACCTAAAAGACGTCTAATTTTAGGTCAATCATTTGAATTGATATTACAACACAGCAATTGTTTTATATGGCGTTTGTATCGCAATCGTAGAAGACAATTATGACCATTGCCGTGGTATAGACAACGGATAAAATACAAATATTATAATTATGTATCTTAAGTGAGGTGTGTAATTATGGTTTCGTGTAACAATGACATCTTTGAATACTTAATCTGTCGGCATCATGGCGTCAGCACATGTGAGAGTATCTTATTTAGGTATGTTGGCGCCAAAAACAGCATTAGTAGGAAACGAAAATTCACTATTCCGCCAACATGAATATGGTAGAGTATGTAAGAACATCTTATGACTCGTTTTTAAGGTCTAAATTAGCACAGAAATATTTTTTAACCTGTAAATGAATGTGAGAGCATTCCTAGTTTCATAAACCATGTAGCTATTTGAACAACTTAACACAAAAGAGCCAATGATGGTGTTGTGAGAACCCTTATAAACAGAGTAGTTAACAGATGAAATAAATATGCAACCTTAAGCCAAATGACTGAATGATTACGCTAATAACTTCGTTTCTACTCCAGACACGACTAAGGATATAAACATCAAGAAAAGTGATTCTTAAATAACACAAAAAGTGGATCGTGACGTTCAAGCAGCTAAACGATGGCAATCTTGCGTAATCCCATTGAATAGTTCGTCCCATTTATCGACATGGAAAACTGATTTAACACGGCTTCATCACATTATGGGTCGATGAACACCAATCTTAATTTTTATCGCTCGTTCTAAACAATTTACTAACGGAATAACTCAGCTGTTGGGTAATTTTGAACTTTATTTTGTTAGCGCTACGTGTATTAATAATGTAGGGTTAATCTGTTGAATACAATTCGGTTATGGCATTTAGAGATATGAATAATAGATAAATAGAGTGGCTGGAACATTCTTTCGCTTCCGTATAAATTTTAGTAAGTAGAAATAGGAACAAAAGTTATAGATTTTAGTGAAAAGTAAAACGGCAAATTCAACACTTCAATTTAAGTAAATTGAAATGTTGAATTTGCCGTTTTACTTTTAGCGATTCTGACATATTCTTACTTTAAGATTCTCATCTCGTATAATATTTTATAAACATGATGCTAGTAGGAACTATAAGCTGAAAATATGTGTTCCACTAGTACAACGTTTATGTTCAAATCAGCGTTTGGGATAATTCAGCTGGTTTTACAAACTTACTACGTCAAAACCGTCAGGACGTTTCATTATACATAGCATAGGTCAAGGTATTCATATCCGTGATCTATTGTCAACGAACTGCTCTCCTAGCCAATCCCAATAGGTTGCTGGTCAAAATTACTTTATTTAGTAAATAATATATCGCAAATGAGTCTAAATGATTCCTATAGACGCTTTGGATTTGATGAAGTTGCTTTAGAAAACCACGCCAGCCAAATCCAATTACAGTTATATAAAAGTGTGGTCAATATTTTTTTTCGCTCTTACATTATTTTATTAATTTTACTAATTAACGGTTGAAATAGTGTGAAACATCTGTTTTATTGGTTATTAATTTGTGATGTATATACGCATCACAAACCTTATCGCAAATGCAATTTTTATCCTTAAACCTTCAAAAAGATTTATGTTTACGCTACATACACTATCTAATTTTTACAATATTTTATTTTATTAAATTCTTCTTGACATTTAAAGAATATAAAAAAAGAAATCCACCCTAAAAATTAAGTGTCTGATAAACATTTCCAAAAACAAATTTAGAACAATAAAATCATATTTTCTACTAAAACCTGCATCTATAAGTTTCCAGCAAGTTTCGAGTGTTAAGCAAAGTGTGCGTGTGCCTGAAGTCAAGCGGCTCTTAATTTTACAGAGTTCTGGTGTACCCTATCTCCTCCTATACTTTACTATGAGACATTAAGAGACTTCAAAGTAGCGTTAATGTTAGATAACTTAAAGAATTAATTAAAACCTTGCTATATCTTTATGGCCCTTGAGATTTAACTACCGTTGTTTACAAGCAGTAAAAACCGCACTAAGCTAACATGTTGCTACTACCACTATTTTTCTTTTATAGGTATAATGCTTTAAACAAATAAAGATAAAAGTTGTAATAGTTACTGTATATTATACATGCATTCTGCCTCGGTGGTGCAGTGGTAGCGTATGCGACTGCTGTGCTGAGGTCTCGGGTTCTATTCGCGGGTTGGACCAAATGTTTGTATGATCTACAAATATTTGTTTCGGCGTTTGGGTGTTTTCTATGTATACATAATATTATGTATTAAAAAAAAGTGTATTCTATCAGTCAATCTAGCTTTCATAGTACAAGCTCTGCTTAGTTTGAAACTAGTTGGCGTTTTGTGTCAATGTCTGAAACATTATTATTATTCTAAGAATTTGAGGTCCAAAACTTAAAATGTTTGTAATACATCACTTTGTAAGTCCATCGTCATCACCTGCCTCACGGTTTTATTGCAACGGGTTATTTTAATGGCCAGCCCTTTGCTTGACACATACTTCTTGGGTTCGTTTTAAAACAGAATATGTCGAAAACACTAGGCATAGGAAGAAGGTAAGTTGAGGTTGAAAACATCATATGTTGAGAGGGCCCGAAAAAGGCATATTGTAAAAATCTAAGGGGGCCACGGGACTAAGCGAAGAGACAGGATTCATATACCTGTTTGCCCTTAACTCGATTCGGAAGGGACATCAAGAGGCCAAAGTGAAAATTCTGGTCAAACTATTACTTTTGTCATGAAGTTTCCGTCATGAAAAAAGTATACCAAGTATACCAATTATTCTTGGTTGATAATACCTCAACGACGGAAGGCAAACAATTTTATGACGATAAAAATGTTCCGTTACAAATAATAAATAATTTTCTATAAATTACCTTTAACCTTATAGATAATAATCTGCAGCATTAAAAACCCCACCCTTTATGAAGTGAGTTAACATTAAATATTATAAACTAATCGTACGCAGAACTATTAAAATATCAAACATTAACATCACGTATGGAACACAACCACTTATCATTCTGACGTTTCAATGGCCCGAGTGCCTGAACACGAGGCATATCACGGCACCAATCGAAGAGCTAATAAGATTTACTTGACTTCAGAACCTTGACTTCTGACACAATGCGGTATTTAACGTGTTTGTGAAACTGGTATTCTTGCAAGATTTGTTACCTACACTAATAGTAAAAAAGGTAAAAGTATTTAATTGCATGTTATTCTCCTTCTTGTGCGAACTGAAAATCAGAATTCCGTAGACCAAAAAACTTTCTGAATGCAACTAGTCGACAGAGAAGCACTCAATGTGTCTGATGGTAAACGATGATCAGGACCCGGCTTTAATTGCCTCCAATATTTTAAAGCTAACTTATTAAAGTACAGAACAGAAATAAGTTACAAGTTGTGACATATTCTATTTAATCTATACTAATATTATAAAGCTGAAGAGTTTGTTTGTTTGTTTGTTTGTTTGTTTGTTTGAACGCGCTAATCTCAGGAACTACTGGTCCGATTTGAAAAATTCTTTCAGTGTTAGATAGCCCATTTATCGAGGAAGGCTATAGGCTATATATCATCACGCTAAGATCAATAGGAGCGGAGCACCAATGAAGAATGTTTCAAAAACGGAGAAAATTTATTACTATTGAGAGACGCAGACGAAGTTGCGCGAGTCAGCTAGTGGTTAAATAAAACAGTAAAGATATTCTTGAATGAAACATTTATTCCATGGTTTTAATGGATATTTTAATTTGATATTTCAAAATATTCAAGATGCAATAATCATAACTCCAAACTTATTCTTAATTTTAAAAAGTTCAACAATGACAGCTTTAAAAATCCTATTGCGTTTAGAAATTGAGTGTGAATATATATTCATTTAATAGTCATAGAACTTGAGGTACACTATAAAGGTTAAGTTACACGAGGAGCGATAGGCATTTAATTGTATAGTATTTCATTTCATAGCGTTTCTTATTAAGTTTTCTCTATGTTTGAAAAAAAGAAAGTGTTTCCAGGTAGGGCTAAGAGGGTAAAACACACCCTGTTAACCTTTGAATTTTATGAGTTAGTTAAGAATATTTCTCAAATTCTTTTTAAATAGTTTTCATTTTGACAAAATTATAAAAAAAAAAACAAAAAAAAAATATGTTTAAACATGATTCTGATGTCCTTGTAAAGTATAGTAAAATGCAAATTCTCCCCGAAAAGAAAAACCTATAATTGGCACAAAGCTCAAGTTCAAAGCGTTTTTCTCGTTGTTCTGTGTTCTTTTGATAATTATTCCGACGTCTGATTCCATGTAAGGTAAGTAATATAATAAAGAAGAAGTAGTAATTTGAGCGACACGTTAGCACATTCTTAAGTGTCAAGACATATTAACCGAGCTGGTTTAAGTATGCGAATTAAGACCAGCTAAACATCGCAGTGTAGACAGAGCTGTGGGCAAATAGCCTCGTGTTGTTAAACTTCTTTATGGTGTATATATTTTAAATTACCTAATATTATTTAAATTTACCTAATTAGTTAACATAATTTTACTGTGTATTTACAGTTACATTTTACATTACCATTCATTAAAATTGATAGAACGCACACATTGACGGCTCAGTGCAGTGTGTTGGCGCCTTATTAACCAAACATTTTTTTCTAAAGTGGGCGAGGTTTCTTTTCTATCAAAAGTCAATAAAAAAAATTATAGTGATACTAGGTTACATTGAAACTTGCGATAAAGCGATAAAAGTTCCCACACGATTTAACGCTATGTTTACGTAACTTCCTCTCTTGATTACATTTTTAGATACAAATATTAGTACGGATAGAATTATTTTTATTCCCAAATCAAGATCACAAAAAAAACTGAAACAACCTGACTGATGGATGTATCTTAACATTGTCTATTCGGATCCTAGACGATTGCTACTAACATTGCTGTCATTTTTGAGGGCCAACTAATTAAATGCATAATAGTGATGAGAACACTACCAACAAGTACTTATCAGACATGCCATACGCTTGCTTACCTCCTCCGTGATGTAATAAATATATGGACCGTTACTGTCTGAATCATTAAATAAAAAGAAACATGTGAAGCACGAAGTGTACTGAACGTGTATTGCCGGCTCACCGCTAAGTTTTAAAAATGCTTAAGCGTGCAAACACTAAAACTATGTTTTAATTTTAAATCATTATACATTTTACGTCAAATTAAGTAAGAGCCGTAAGTGCCGGTTAAGTATGATTATGGTCTGTGACTAAGACGGACAACCGTTATTTTGTGCATTACTTGTCATTCATTAAAAATAATCTGGCTTGTCTATGACTGATATCAGTTTCAAGTTAACTTTGTATTGCTACAGTTAGCTTACCTTCTTACCTATTTCCCAAGCCGTTGTTTCATTTTCCCAGGGAATTGGTATTGAAGCAACGACCTACTATTTCGATAAATTTGCAATTTGGTATGTAATCGCTGCATCCATCTGTATATTATACTTTATACCAATGCAGTTATGGGGTGACCATTAATTTGTATACAAAAATAATCGATCTTAAATTTTTCAACTAGAAACAAATGACTATTTTCAAATACAAATGTTCGGCATCTATACTAATATTATAAAGCTGAAGAGTTTGTTTGTTTGTTTGTTTGTTTGAACGCGCTAATCTCAGGAACTACTGGTCCGATTTGAAAAATTCTTTCACTGTTAGATAGTCCATTTATCGAGGAAGGCTATAGGCTATATATCATCACGCTAAGACCAATAGGAGCGGAGCACCAATGAAGAATGTTTCAAAAACGGAGACAATTTATTACTATTGAGAGACGCAGACGAAGTTGCGCGGGTCAGCTAGTTAATAATAAAATTAAATGACCTTCTTGGCCTTGTTCTAAGGAATTATAAACAGTAAAGGAATGTAGCCTAATTGTAGCGCTATTCGCGTTAAATACTGTGAAATTTAAAAACTTAAATTTGAATGTGTCATGTTTAAAGTATGCCCTTGACTTTTATTATTAACTAAACGCAAAACTAATTAATTTTGTAAATAACATCAAACATATGTTTTTATTGGTTCAAAATTTGAACCTTGAGTGTATGCTAGAAATATCTTAGAATTTTAATAATCGCTGAGTAAGTGAGACAGTGATAATATTGAGCAACTTGCAATAGTTCTTAAGCTACAGGTTCTAAATAATTTAATTTGGGAATATGCCTAAATACAATCTGCTCCCTTAGTTGTTAAGAAAATACACGCTTCTAGCTCTACCCGCTACGAAGTTACAGTGGGTAGAAAACCTCCTTAATTGCTTCGAGAAAAGGATGGTACATACGACTAGTTTTTCACACTCGGCCGGTTGGTACTGTATCACGAAGAATAGTGTTGTAGTTGTTTTAGTAATTGTCCTTAAGACACAAGGCGTGAAGGTCACAAAGCGAATAAACTTTTCCGTCAACATCTTTACCATTTGCCTAAAAATATCACAATCTAAAATCTTTTTTACAATCAGAAAGTTTACTTAGAACACGTACACCGTAAAACCTTCATAAATGCATAAAACGCGTTATAACAGACATGTTTCCAACACCACTAATACACATTATCAAATTTCATCTCTGTTGGAATTGTACCGCAATAGTCCCAAATATGGTAACCCTCTCGCTACTTAGTTACTAAACAGATCATATCTCTGGCAGTTCATCTTTGTGAGAAACTGTTATTATGAGCTGTAGACAGACATTGTCAGGTGTCATATCCGTCTTCTTGGAGTCAATTTAGCCGTAAGTAATGTAAGAAATAAAGGTAATTTACTATGTAATATAGTAATGTCTAATATATAAAATTCTTGTGTCACGGTGTGCGTGGTAGAACTCCTCCGAAACGGCTCGACCGATTTTCGTGAAATTTTGTGTGCATATCGGGTAGGTCTGAGAATCGGCCAACATCTATTTTTCATACCCTGATTATTATTTTTTTACAAAAAAAAAAATAATAATGTATAGGGCAAAACAACGTTTGCCGGGTCAGCTAGTATTATATAAATACGCCACGCCTGTGTATCACCATATTCCACTTTACTTTTTGGTAGAAGTACTTAATTGTCTCGATCTAGAAATCAAACCACACAACCAAACACACGAGACATAAAATTTTAGAGAAATGAGCACAAATCAATACCCCATGGAATCAAGGAGGTAGTTTATTCAAATTATTATAATAAAGTAAAAAGAAAATGTATTTACACAAACTTTTTTAAAGTTACCAACCTCATGGAATAATTTAGTTGTACGTCCCTTTCATTCCGTCTCTTCAGCAGCCTTTTATAAAAGAGCAGTTATAAATATAGAGTTTATATTGATATTAAGTGCTAAATCTTAATGTAAAAAAGTATGATATATATAAAAGTAAAGCTACTTCTGTCACATTCTCTCTCTTATTAGTAGAGACAAAAAGCAGCCTAAAGCTTTAAAAAGTAAGTCATAGCAGAGGTGGCGAATTTCACAGTTATAGTCACACTTCAACACTTTTGACGAGATTGTAAAGGTTTTATTGTCATGTGTCAATAAGCTTAGTTGGTCTCATACCACTTTTTCTTAATATGTGAAAGCGAACATAAAATAAGAATGAAAATAATTTTCGCTACTACATAATAAAACTCATTGTTGCAACCAAAAAATTTAATTCATTATATGTCGCTAACATTTTTAAATTTTAACTTTTTTTTTGTTAAATCCATCATTTAAGAAAATTTTCATTGTTGAGCAAATACCGTAATCGGCTGTCATAGTTAGTTGCGCGTGCGCAACTGGCCGAGCACGTTCCGCCTTTTGTTCGATTTTCAATTTTATTTTTTACAACTAAATGGCTTTGACTTATTGTGTCAACGCTATTGTTCGTTTTTGATTGGTCGATCTTCGTTGGAGCACCGAACGCCACCATCTATTATTGTGTAAAGTATTTTGTTTTTATTACTGCGGTCTAGGGCGGTATCTTTACACTTTGTTGCGTAACATTTTGATATCGGAACTGAGATCTAGTTTGTTATGAGATCCGCATTCTCGTTTTGATGAGTATCAATACTTTCATTGTGGTGTTGTGTACAAAATGTTTTGTCATCTTTGTGTACATAAAAGCCTTAGAATATTATCTAAACCGAGATCTTAATGTTTTCTTAACTCTTAACGAAGTAACTAACCATTCTGAGTAACTTGTCCATTTTGGATAATGTTGCCAGTTTTCTATTTTTTACACCATATACTGCTTTTAATTGTTCCCTGCGATGTGGTTTTAATATGTTAACATTTCATTATTTAGTTTATTACAATAGGTAGTGTTTTTTTTTCATTTACATAAATATCATATGTTCAGATAAGATATTTTAATAGTAACAACAGTTTTCCTTTGATATAATTTCTCAAAATAGCTTTCAAAATTTCAAAGCTTGAAAATATCACAACTAAATATTCAACCTACATAAAAAAATAACACAAAACAATAATAATTAGGGTTATCAAATCAGTATTTTTTTTCATATTTGCCAGAGTCAACCCTAAAATGATTATTTTAATATAACTTTCATTATTTCAACTATATATTCTGTCTCTATTCTTCTTCTCTATTCTTATTTCACATTAATGGAAAAATAAACGTGAAAGTAGAAGAGTAACATAGGTAATACAGTTGATAAAAAAAATTCTCATTGTGTATTTTTTTTCGTTAAGGTATTACAACGCGACGTGGTATGTCACGGTCGGATCGTGAGCTCTGTGGTGCGTCTGTGCGGTGGCGGTGATGCAGTACGAGCATTAGAACGGCGTTGGCAACTCTTATATCTGAGGGCTATCGAGTGGCAGTGTCACTTGGAAGCGTGTTTGACAAGGATCGATAATCAGGTAATTTCATAAAATTCACTACTCTTTATCTCTACATAACTAAGGCATGGAATTTCAAAGGAGTTTCTGAAAGTACTTTTTCTATAAACAATATATAAAATTCTTAGATTTTGCTCTTAACTTGAACTTCTGTATGAATTGTAAACAATACACTATGAATATTCTTAAAAATACAAATACATATTTTATAATATTATTATACATATATTGTTCTTCTTAGTTTACACTACTGTCAGACTAGTCCTGTTTATGGCTCGTCTCCTCCATCTCTCTATTTCTGATACTGCGTGTACATTGCGATATAATGATTCAAAATAAAATTTCTAGATAGATAAATAAAGTAAATATGAGCCGCTTCAAAGGCAGATATTGCTTTAATATTTACAATAGTCAGAGAGTTTTAAAATGATAATAACTGTAACGGAACTGTCCGTGTAGTGACGGATTAAGAATACGGAATCATCACACAATTCATCCCGTGGGTGTCGTAAGAGCCGACTAAGGGCGCAAAACAACGCAGAACACCAGTACTGCAAATAGAAGGAAAACTTTACACAAACCCTTTTTTTTTTTTTTTTTTTTAACGTGTGGAAATCCCCTCGGACCGTCACCCCTCCGGGGTTTGCGGCGGGGTGGTGTGTCGGACTCGGACCGACTAAAACCACACGGTGTGCCACTCTGCGCCTGTAACAGGAGGGATCCGGGAACAGCTGTTGTTAAGACATCCGGACCCCTCCTAGCGCCAGCCCGCTCCTGGTGCGGGCTCCGTCTCGATGTTTTTCCTCTCTTTATAGGCGACGTCCGGCACACGCGGACGCCGCCCCCTCGCGGCTGGCCAACTAATGCGGGTGGAGGGGAAACCCACCCCGTCCACCCGCGGCCACACTCAGGGCGGCATGAGGCTGTGATAGCCGGGCCTCCGCCGCCCGGTTCGCCGGCGGCGGATCGGGTCCGAGTGGAGGTCGTCCTCCCGGGCCCTCTCCGCCGCCTCCTTCCGCGAGATTACTACCTCGCAGAAGGTTGCGACCGCGGTAAAACAACTGTCGCTACCGGCCATGGAGCGTACTACGGCCGGTAGCGAGAGATCCACTCCGATGACTGCAGTGAGGGCCCGACGCTGCGCCGCCCATGCGGGGCAGACCGCCAGCGTGTGCTGGGCCGAGTCCTCACTGCAGTCGCAGTGGTGGCAGGCGGGACTCAGTTCCCTCCTAGCGACCGTGTGCAGGTACTTCCCGAAGCAACCGTGCCCGGAAAGCACCTGCGTCAGCCGGAAGGAAAGGGTCCCGTGCTGCCGCCCTGCCCACTCGGCGATGACCGGCTGGAGAGCCTCCACGGCGGCGAAGCCAGCGCGTGGAGTCTCCAGCCGGAACGACCAACGAGCCATCGTGGCTCGGCGAGCGGCTTCGCGCCACTCGCGCACATCCTCGGGCGGAGGGCGAAATCCGCTCTCCGCCCGGAAGTCAGCCACTCGCCGATAAACTTCGGCGAGCACTTCCGCCTCCAAATCCCACGGGGGAGTTCCGGCCAACGCGCACGCCACCTCCGTCGAAACGGTGCGGTAACCGCGTATGGCTCTGACCGCCATTACCCTCTGAGGGCGCCAGAGGCGTACCCTATTCTGGGCGGTCAGAGCCGCCGCCCACACCGGTGCACCGTACAGTGCCATTGACCGGACAACCCCCGTGTACAGCCGTCTTGTCGCGACGCTGGGTCCACCCATATTGGGCAGAAGTCGCCCTAGGGCGGACGCAGCGCCGACCAGCTTTGGAGCAAGCTGTCGGAAGTGCTCGTCGAAGAGCCACCTCCCGTCGAGGATCAGGCCCAGATATTTCATCTGGGCCCGAACCGGTACGAGGACCGAGTTGACCACGATTGAGGCGCCAGGGGGTGGACCACGACGGGGCCCATGAAATAACAGGGCCTCCGTCTTATCTAGGGCCACCCGTAAGCCCAGCGCCTCAATGCGCCCGACCACCAGGGAGACTCCCCCTGTGGCCAGGCGCGCCGCCTCTTGGAAGTTTGCCCCCCGGGCTGTCACCAGTGTATCGTCTGCGTAACAGATTACACCCAGCCCGGGGGGGAAATCGGCGCGAAGGGCCCAGTCGTACCCTATGTTCCACAAGAGGGGTCCAAGAACAGACCCCTGTGGAACACCGCACGACATGGGCCGACACCTCAAATTACCTTCTCGGTCCTCGTACACGACGGTACGCTCCTCTAAATAGTCTGCCACTAGCCGCCTCAGGTACTTTGGCACCCCATGATAGTGGAGTGCTTCCCTGATGCAGCTGAATGGCAGACTATTGAATGCGTTGGCGATGTCCAGTGACACCGCCAACAGCACGCCGCCACAGCTCACGGCCTCTTCGGTCACGGCCCTCAGGCGCAACACGGCGTCGACTGTCGAACGCCCCGCCCGAAAACCAAACTGGGCGTCCGACAGATCGGGGCCCACCTCGCAGAGGTGCCGGACGATGCGGGCAGAAAGAACCCTCTCAAACAATTTGCCCGCCCTCGTCCAGCAGCACGATGGGCCTATAGGCCGCGACCGAATCGGCTGGCCGTCCCGGCTTCCTCAATAGGACCAGCTTCCCGCTTTTCCAGCACTCAGGGAAGCGTCCCGACGCCAAGCTAGCGTCGAACACCTCCCCGAGGCGGTCTGCCATGTGGTTGAGGGCCAGGGCCAGCACTCGGGCCGGTACCCCGTCTGGCCCAGGGGCGGTGTTCTTGGAACGGATCCGTAGAACAGCCGCCCCTACCTCCGAATCCCGGACGGGCGGAACATTGTCCTCCCGGTGCTCCCCGTCGTCTCCGGCCAGGGAGGCCATCGACGGGGGAGTGTGTTCCGCCCGTTGTGGGAAAAGGCCCTCAACCACTTCTCGCAGGAAGCTGGGCTGGAGAGTCTCCGTAAGGGGGGGGCCCGACGCGCGGAGCTTTAGTCGCACCGCGCGGTAAGGGCGACCCCAGGGGTCACGATTGAGACCCTCCAGCATCTCCTGTCTCTTTTCCTCTTTGGCGCGGCTAATGGCCAGCTTCAGAGTTTTCCGCGCCCGCCGGTACTCCTCATGAAGCCGGTCCTCCTCACCGTCTCCACGGTGACGCCGCCGACTGCGTGTGTAGGACCTCCGGGCACGTGTACAGGCCGCACGGAGGTCCGCCAGCTCCTGGGACCACCAGTAGACCTCCTTCCTTGGAGGCCGACGACCTCGAACGCGGGGCATGGCCGCATCGCATACATGCGTAATCGCATCGCGAAAGCGGCCAGCCCCCACGTCGACCTCCTCGGTCGGAGCCTGAGGAGACAGCCACGAGTGAATTATGGCTGCCTCCTCTAGTAGGTCCCGGTTCAGCCTGGCAACAGCCCACCGCGGAAAGCGGGATAAACGCCGCGCCACGTGACCCCTACTGGAGTCCTGGGTCCGGGAGAGCTCAAATCGGATATACAGGTGATCCGAGAGCGTCTCAACCTCTTCCAGGACACGCCAGTTCCTTACTCGTGCGGCGAGGGCAGGGGTAGCGAACGAGAGGTCCACTATCGACCCCCCCTGCTGTCGCACGCACGTGTTGGTGGAGCCTCTGTTTAGAAGACAGAGGCCCACCGAGGCCGCCCACTCCTCTACGGCCTCGCCCCTGGCGTCCGTCCTGGGGGAACCCCACGCAATGGACTTTGCGTTGAAGTCCCCCAGCACAAGGACGTGCCCAGACGCTAGTCGCCGTATCAAGGTCTCCAAGCTGATTAGGAAAACCTCGAAGTCGTTCAAACTCCGGTTGGGGGAGAAATAGACACCATATATGGTGATCCCCCCCCACTCGACGGCAACATATCCAGTGCCCTTGTCTCTTAGCGACAAGGGCGGGGAATGAGCCGTCGTGGAACCGACGACTGCCACGGAGCCGTCCCAGTCACCCATCCAGTTTGGACGGGGAGGGACAGAATAGGGCTCCGCGACTACGGCAACACCTATCGACCACTGTGCCATGGTTTGCAGGAAGAGATCCTGCGCCGCGGCACAGTGGTTCAGGTTCGTCTGGACCAGGAGGTTGGAGACTTGATCCATTACTGGATCGTCTCTACAACCTCCTCCATGGGCGACGACGTCGACGCAATATTGACGTCGGGGGTAGCCTGGGTCGACTGGCTAGCCCCTGACGTCTGCCGAGAACTGCGGGGAGGCTTGCAGCCTCTCTGCCCCATCTGGTGATTGGCGGGCTTATTGCCCGCCGCACACACTGGGCAGTGAGGGGCGGCAGAGCATTCTGCCGCCTTATGCCCCGGTTGACCGCAGCGGAAACACAGTCCGCCGCAGTCAAAACAGCTGTCGCACTTGACGCGCGTGTGTCCCGATGCTAGGCATTTGTAGCACCTCATCGGTCTCGCCGCCAGGACTGTGATCCTGGCGCTCACGAAACCGATGAGCAGCCTGCCGGCGTCGGCCAATACTTTGGCCGACGCTACGGGACAGCTGACCCACACGGCGCCAAGCCCTCCTGGACCGGGGCGGATGGTGCCGACCCTGACGTTGTCCGCGCTGCACCCCGTCTTCTCCTGGATTACAGCGCGGATATCTTCGGCCGTTACGGAGTCGTCCAGGCCCGAGATGCGCAACTCTGCGCACTTAGTAGGCCTGGCGATCTTTACACCATCTGTGGTCGCGAATAAACCCCGCAGCTTCTCGGCAAATGTGTCCGCCGTCTTTGCGCCTTCAGCCCCAGGGAACTCGAGGACTCGAGCTCCCGTCTGGGCGAGGCGCATCCTGACCCCCACCGTTCCAAAATCGTTGGCGAGGCTGTCCCGGGCCTTTTTGAAGACGGCCGCGTAGGACAGCCCGCCGTCCGCCGCCTCCGGGGACACGGTCACCACTACAGCCGCGGTTTTGGGCGGCTGCAGCTTCCGCGGCCTCTTTGTGGAGGCCGTTGCCACCGGTGGCGAAGGCTGGGCTTGGGCTGCTTTTTTGGCAGCCTTTTTGGCCCGCCTTCGGGACTTCTTGGAGCCCCTCGCC